CTGACTACATGGTTCCATTTTTTTAATATAAGTTTAAACAAGATTCATTCTCCCGCTAACTCAAACAAAATCATGTAATTTTGGTAAACCTTACAGATTAACAAAAAATTCAATCAGATAATGTCAAATATTATGTCAGATGAGGACACATAATTCAACAGATTACATGACATGAGTAGCAAGATTGCGGAATTTCGTCTGACGAAATGATCTTTTGGGAATCTATTCCCACACGTTCTTTGAGACAATGCTAAACTAAGTGAGACAGTTAGCCTGGTCCGGACCAGGCTTGTTCGCAGGTCAAAATTGCCATGGTAATTCAGCGGGGATTCATTTAAGACACGTTGATGGAACGGAACTCTCACTTAAGTAAGACTGACTTGTCGAAATAAGTCAGACTTTCCCTTAATCCTGCTTCATGGAATACCCCCCTGCTTCGTGGAATACCCCCCTAGTCAGTCAACCTGTCCAACACCATAGCAAACAATAAAGGGTTCATAGCTGACCATTGATGTAATCCCACCTCAGTTCCAGTTGAGAGAACGCTGTGCACGTTTTGGCTGACGCTTCTCACCGGTGTTTATTATTCTTGTTTAGCGTTTGTCAGTCAGTTTGTCAGTCTAAATTTTGGATTTTTTAACTTTGGGACTGCCACTTTCTCAGCTTCAGAACTGCCACTGTTCGGGTGTATTCTCTACTCAAACTCTCTCTCTCTTGCATCCTGTTGATTATTTCACCCACTCCACAAGCTCTCTCCCTATTTGGTTCCCCCGTGCCAGCATAGTCGGTGAGTCAGCCTCCACTTCCTCGTTTACTATGTTGATTGCTCAGTTGGGTGTAACTTGTGGGTTCTGGCTAACGTAGTGGTCAGTGGTACTGTCCCAGAGTATGAACACCTACTCCTCACTACAACTTCATGCCTGGCGCACTCACTCCCGGGTCGGAGAAACAATATATACCTGGTGTAAGGAGCTTGGTATCGCTAATCACCCACGATATATTCACCGCTTCCCATGTCGTCATTTTCATATAAATTATACCTCCTCCGATGCAATTCAAAGAATTTATACTGAGACCCAAGTCATCAAATGGCACATCAAGAAACTAGATTAGATCAAGGAGCGCGTTGAGTTACCTGCCAATTGCTACGGAGCGGAATAACCAAGGCAAAGTTGCAGATTTAAATCTTTGATGTGCTCTCTTAAACTGTTGGTCCTTGATGAATAAAGCAACCTTGCTGAATGAATTGTCTATTGCAAAGAATCTGGACATGCTACTTCTTGTTGAAACTTGGCAAACTTCGAATGACTACTTACAAATGAACCTGCTCACCCTTCCTAACTATAGCTTTCTGTCTAAGCCCCGATTAATGGGCAGGGGTGGTGGTTTGGCGGTGCTCCATCGTGACAGCATTAATTAAAGTGTTGTTTAATTACTAAACGTCTCATCGTTTGAATATTTGGTTTTTAAAATCACTGGCCATACATTGCTGTACATGATATTAACCTATAGACCACCCAAGCTCCTTCCTAACTTTTTCTCAGACCTCAATAAACTGCTTACTCTTGTTTTTGGCATGTCTCCGGCGATCATCTTACTTGGTGACTCATATGGACACTGATTGTTCGTCTGCTCATGAGCAGCCGACAATATTGGACTGTTTCTGTTTCATATAGCATGTTGATTTTCCAACTCACACCAAGGGTCATACACTAGACTTTATCTTGCAAAGCAGAGGAAAATATGTTCATGCTTCTGGCTCTCTCTTGGGTGTTTCAGATCATAAACTTATTGAAATCTGTTTTAATTACTCTGCCTAGAACATGTAAAAAAACTCTGATTAGCTACCACAAATTTAAGTCTATTGATCAGTCATCCTTTTCAGACTCTCTCCATGCATCTCATCTCCATGATACTCTAGACCTGACTTGCCCCATGCAGATACTTTCAATGTATAACTATATAATTTCAGAAGTTCTGGACACTTATGCACCTGTTAAATCCATGCTAGTCCCTACTACTCGCACCTCCCCCTGGTTCACACCAGAGCTCCGCACCATGAAACAGACAGGCCGTCGTCTTGAGAGGCTATGTAAGAAAACTGGTCTGACAGTCCATACCCTAGCCTACGCTGAGCACCTGACAGCTTACAGATCTATTCTTACAGCTGCGTGCTCATCATGCTATTCTACTCTTATTAACAGTACTTCAAGCCGACATAGAACACTCTTTTCTACCGTAAATAAGTTATGTCAGTCTCCTGTTAAAACTACCATTGCTTATGATAATCACTATAACTCATTCATGAAATATTTTCAATCTAAAGTTGAAACTGTATAATTCCTTTTCTGCAAACCCTCACCCACCTCCATCAACCACCATCATACCACAACCCCCTGCCCACTCGTTATCAGAATTTATTCCCTCCTCTCCAGCTTCTATTAATCAGTTAATTAGGAAACTGAGTACATCTACTGGTCAGTTGGACCCTGATCCTACTACACTTATAAAGGACACTCTGTTGGTACCTATTTCACATTTAATAAACTGTAGTCTTGCTACTTGTATTGTCCCACCGGAACTGAAAATTGCCACTATTACACCTGCTCTTAAAAAGCTCGGTTTAGATTCATCTCAGCTAAAGTTTTACAGGCCAGTCTCTAATCTTCATGAAGATTGGTTACCTGTTAAGGAGGGCTAAGAGTGCCAAAATTAAATAAATACACCAATAATTAAGTATTTAAATGTGTCATGAATTGTTTAAAATAGGAAATATAAAGATAAATTATTTAAATGTGTCATGAATTATTTAAAATGGGAAATAAAAACATCGTTAATTAAATGTGCCATGAATTATTATCTACCATTAGAAGTAAAAACATTATAAATTAATTATGGCAGCCCCGAACAAGAAGGGAGAAGGAGATCCAGGTATGCAGGGGTAAAGGAGCTTTATTAGTGGCTCC